ATTTTCCGAATTTTTTTTGCATCAACGTTTAGACGGCTATTTAAATATATAGTTGCGAACATTTGCAAGAGAAAAAATAAGCTCCATCTATCGAATAATCTTAGTAACAGAAACGTCGTTTTAAAACACTTTTCAACCCGTTGTCCTACAATATTTAAGATATTTGAAAGTTTTTTTTTGCCAAAAGTGTTCCTCAATGACGGTTTAAACTATCTGTATTAGTTTTGAAGTTGGATCTTAAATCCTTCAATCAAAAAATATAGCAAAGTAAATTTGTAGTAAAAAAGCCTTCAACAGGTTTGTCGCCCACACCTTTGTAATTAAAAAGTAACATTTTCCGAATTTTTTTTGCATCAACGTTATAACCGCTATTTAAATATATAGTTGCACCCATTTGCAAGAGAAAAAATAAGCTCCGTCTACCGAATAATCTAAGTAACAGAAACGTCGTTTTAAAACAGTTTTCAACCCGTTGCCACACTATAATTACAATATTTGAAATTTTTTTTTGCCAAAAGTGTTCCTCAATGACGGTTTAAACTATCTGTATTAGTTTTGAAGTTGGATCTTAAATCCTTCAATCAAAAAATATAGCAAAGTAAATTTGTAGTAAAAAAGCCTTCAACAGGTATGTCGCCCACACCTATGTAATTAAAAAGTAACATTTTCCGAATTTTTTTTGCATCAACGTTATAACCGCTATTTAAATATATAGTTGCACCCATTTGCAAGAGAAAAAATAAGCTCCGTCTACCGAATAATCTAAGTAACAGAAACGTCGTTTTAAAACACTTTTCAACCCGTTGTCCTACAATATTTAAGATATTTGAAAGTTTTTTTTTGCCAAAAGTATTCCTCAATGACGGTTTATACTATCTGTATTAGTTTTGAAGTTGGATCTTAAATCCTTCAATCAAAAAATATAGCAAAGTAAATTTGTAGTAAAAAAGCCTTCAACAGGTATGTCGCCCACACCTATGTAATTAAAAAGTAACATTTTCCGAATTTTTTTTGCATCAACGTTATAACCGCTATTTAAATATATAGTTGCACCCATTTGCAAGAGAAAAAATAAGCTCCGTCTACCGAATAATCTAAGTAACAGAAACGTCGTTTTAAAACACTTTTCAACCCGTTGTCCTACTATAATTACAACATTTGAAAGTTTTTTTTGCCAAAAGTGTTCCTCAATGACAGTTTAAACTATCTGTATTAGTTTTGAAGTTGGATCTTAAATCCTTCAATCAAAAAATATAGCAAATTAAATTTGTAGTAAAAAAGCCTTCAACAGGTATGACGCCCACACCTATGTAATTAAAAAGTACCATTTTCCGAATTTTTTTTGCATCAACGTTATAACCGCTATTTAAATATATAGTTGCACCCATTTGCAAGAGAAAAAATAAGCACTTTCTACCGAATAATCTAAGTAACAGAAACGTCGTTTTAAAACCGTTTTCAACCCGTTGCCCCACTATAATTACAATATTTGAAATTTTTTTTTGCCAAAAGTGTTCCTCAATGACGGTTTAAACTATCTGTATTAGTTTTGAAGTTGGATCTTAAATCCTTCAATCAAAAAATATAGCAAATTAAATTTGTAGTAAAAAAGCCTTCAACAGGTATGTCACCCACACCTATGTAAGTAAAAAGTACCATTTTCAGAATTTTTTTTGCATCAACGTTATAACCGCTATTTAAATATATAGTTGCACCCATTTGCAAGAGAAAAAATAAGCACTTTCTACCGAATAATCTAAGTAACAGAAACGTCGTTTTAAAACCGTTTTCAACCCGTTGCCCCACTATAATTACAATATTTGAAATTTTTTTTTGCCAAAAGTGTTCCTCAATGACGGTTTAAACTATCTGTATTAGTTTTGAAGTTGGATCTTAAATCCTTCAATCAAAAAATATAGCAAATTAAATTTGTAGTAAAAAAGCCTTCAACAGGTATGTCGCCCACACCTAGGTAAGTAAAAAGTAACATTTTCAGAATTTTTTTTGCATCAACGTTTAGACGGCTATTTAAATATATAGTTGCGCCCATATGCAAGAGAAAAAATAAGCTCCGTCTATCGAATAATCTTAGTAACAGAAACGTCGTTTTAAAACACTTTTCAACCCGTTGTCCTACAATATTTAAGATATTTGAAATTTTTTTTTTGCCAAAAGTGTTCCTCAATGACGGTTTAAACTATCTGTATTAGTTTTGAAGTTGGATCTTAAATCCTTCAATCAAAAAATATAGCAAAGTAAATTTGTAGTAAAAAAGCCTTCAACAGGTATGTCGCCCACACCTAGGTAAGTAAAAAGTAACATTTTCAGAATTTTTTTTGCATCAACGTTATAACCGCTATTTAAATATATAGTTGCGCCCATTTGCAAGAGAAAAAATAAGCTCCGTCTACCGAATAATCTAAGTAACAGAAACGTCGTTTTAAAACACTTTTCAACCCGTTGTCCTACTATAATTAAATTATTTGAAAGTTTTTTTTTGCCAAAAGTGTTCCTCAGTGACGGTTTAAACTATCTGTATTAGTTTTGAAGTTGGATCTTAAATCCTTCAATCAAAATATATCACAAATTAAATTTGTAATAAAAAATCCTTCAACAGGTATGTCGCCCACACCTAGGTAAGTAAAAAGTACCATTTTCCGAATTTTTTTTGCATCAACGTTTAGACGGCTATTTAAATATATAGTTGTGCCCATTTGCAAGAGAAAAAATAAGCTCCGTCTACCGAATAATCTTAGTAACAGAAACGTCGTTTTAAAACACTTTTCAACCCGTTGTCACTCCTCGTGTGGTGGACCGCATAGTAGATCTTAGACTTTCGCTGGCCGGGGTTGCCTGCCGATAGAGCCCACCAATATTAGGCACTTTCATTATCCTAAAATTGACACCCAAAAAACGTGTGCTCCATGGTGTCTACAGTTGCAGGGCAGTGCACACACGATGGATTTTTCGCTCTCGCCTTAGACCAAAGATATTTTTGAAAACATCCGTGGTTGGTAAGACCTTCGCCGTGTGGAATCTCACCAACTTTTTTCCCTGATACCCCCATATCTCGATATCCGGAGTCAGTACCATTCCCAACTCCCCTTGATCGTCAATTACAAGAAAAAAATTAAAAAATCATTATCATTTGCTTGAACATTTAATTTATCTAAACTTAAACTTCAAATTTCTATGAAAAAAAATGTTATTTATGTTGGTATTTTAAATATTTATAAATTGCTAAAAGAACACATTTTTATGAACCTTGTATTTATCATTGAGTATATAAAATTATAATTTAAATAAACGTTGTATGGTTTCCTTCGTTTCGATTGTTCTACGCTGACCCGCCAGACTCACTCCACAGGGATAAAATTATCTTCTTATAGAAGGGGGTAGCAGAGTGCTAAACATACTCTCTTCCAAATGAAAATACATTGACAGAGACCGATAAAGGTCATTTTAACGAACTAATAAAAAAAAAAGGTGGCGTCTCGTTTTCGCACATATTAATATAGGTATATTTTAAATTAATGACAACTCGCTTGGGCACAAAATTGTAAACAGTGAAAACAAGCTGATAGGTACAGTTTTGGGTGTAGTCTTAAACTGCCCTTACACTATCAATATCATTGATATCAATTAAACACCAGTCAATATTGATAAAGGACATAATTGGTTGAGGCGTTTGAATAAAAATAAAGTGTTATTAAAAGAATACTCGAAAAATGATTCTGAAATTGGAAGGTGGCTATTAACACTTTTTCGATTTACCTTATTTAAACTCTAATGAACTTCCTGATGCATCTACTGAAATAATTTCAATAGCTTCTTGTAATATAAGTATGGATTTTCAAGACTATATATATTAAAAATCATATTGATTCTGATGCTGATTTTAGGCCAGAATTATGGGCTGAAAACGTTCACATGCACTTCAATAGTAAATTTTATACCCCCCACCCCCACATTCACCAAATTATTCAAATACTAATGGAAATTCAAGTCAATACTGATTTAAAAATAAAGAAAGAAAAAACCTGCGCGTAGAATAGAAATATTAAAAAAACAAAATTATATGAAAAAAATATGAAAAAAATATGAAAAAAATATGGAAATAATAATATTCTGATTACAAATCCAAAATATTGATCTTTAAAAATTTTAAACGCAAACGCGTACCAATAAATAGTAAATATATATTGACAAATAAATAAATTAATGTTTTGATATGAAAAATGATTGTAATTGTAATTTGTGAAATTTGTAAAATTTAATGACTTTTTTGCATAAATGACTGCCCTAATTGTAATTTGTGTAATTTGTAATTCGATAAAATTGTGAAGAATGGCTTTCTAAGGAAGCTGTTCTAAAATAAATAGTTCAAACAATATTTTTAAACCCGATAGGTAGTCATAATATATTATATAACATATTACCTATAAGTATTATAAGTCATATAACATCAGAATATGATGAGACAGAAAGTCCTAAGCCTTATAAGGTGGAGGAAAATTTTGTTTGAGTATAATAATTTTCCACCATACGTAAAGACCAATTCGAAATGTTGGGGGTAAGCAGATACAAGTATAGAGTACAACCTATTATACGTGGAAAAATTTCTTTGAAAAAAAGTTTTTATTGTTCGTAAATTGTTCGAAAATGAGTTATGTTTTTGTGCTCAAATGAGTTGTAAAAAAGGTAAATGTCCGTAAATGAGTTGTGGCCAAAAAATATGTTTCAAGTTTCTATGATTAATACTTTTTAGGCACCTACAACAAAATATCAAAAACCTTGATGAAAAATCGATTATTTATCTGTGAATTTCCAATTTTGTCAAACTTTATACTTCAGATGGTCATAAGATATTTTTGAAATGACGATCAACTTTTTTAAAATTCAAGAATATAACCAAAACATTTTGTAAAAAATGAATGTTTATTATTTTATTTGAAAATGTCATTAACATATTTTGTGAAAAAAGTCACATTTCAATATTATTATGATTTATGTGGTCGTTTTAGTGTTTGCTTATTTGATTTTTTTTTGACACAACATTTGTGATTTTCTTCGATTTCTTGCAATATTTTGATAACCGCACAATTTACCCCTACAAGAAACTGTTCTGATAATGCGGGAACATTTTTGTACAAATTTTTCAAAAAAACCATGTTTCTAAAATCAGATGATCATAGTATAATTGTATGAATAGGTACATTAAATATTAAAACCTACCTACCTGATATTAACACAACTAACGTCTTCTGGACTGGATGGTTGGTCGTATTGAGCAGTTGAAGTAGAAGGAGTGTTGTAGTCAACATTATTAGCCGTGAATGAAGTAGTTAGTTGCCGTTTTTTAGATTTATTAAATTTAATTGTTTTTTTATTTTGACATTGAGAACAATTGTTTTTGTCAGACGATGACATGGCCAATACTAAATATAAGTACTCTAAATGATCGATTGTATTATTTTTATTTTGTTAATACCTAATAAATAAAAATATTACTTATGCGATTAAAAATAATATGTTTCCAAGAAACCAATAATCTGCAGTGATTATTATTAGGTTGTTATTAAAAATACTTAGATGATATTTAATATAAATAATAATATGATGCAACTATAGTGACTTGAAATCAAAAATAATTTTTGTTTTCATTGATTACCAATGTATTCATTTAAATGTTGAGTATTTTTTATAAGTTGATGCTGCATTAAAAAAAAAAATTGATTGCAGTTTATATGGTAGTAGAGACGAAATTAGAATATCAAGGATTTGATACAGAAGAGCAGTTTCTAATGTATACATCAAAGTAGAAAACAGAAAAGAAATATGTATTATTATAATCACTAAACTAATGATAGTTTGTAACGACAAACAATATAATTATAATAATAATAATAATAATAATATAATATTAATAATTGTATTATTAACCATCGTAATATTAACCAATACTTTAATACTTCAATCTTCAATACTTTTTCAATTTTGCTCGTGTTCGGAGGATCCTGTAGGTATACGTAAAATCGGTAGTAAATACGGTAGGTAAATATCGGTAGGTAGGTACTAAATTATAAATGTAAATTGTAATAATATGTTATATATAAATATAATATATAAGAATGCCCAATACACGAACCAACCCGCACTCTTTTCAACCTCCCACTCAACATCAAAGAAGCTCTAAATGAAGAACATACTTTAAAAACTATCGAATTCATCACCAAAGACAACCTTATTAACAAAATATAGTTTCAATATAAATTAAATTGTAAATCTATTTAAACAAATATTGTAATTTTTAATATTGTAATTTACTTTTCTTTTTTTTTTTTCTTTTTTTTGTTAAACTTAAACAAAAATGTTGGCTAATAACCTTTGTAGTTGAAGCCTGTAAACCTTAAATAAAAAAAAAAAAAAAAAATCATCGTATGGTCCAAATAGTGGGTTTAAATGAACACACTTTTTTTTCTCAATTTTTTTTATTAAAGAGACAAACAAATTATTGCAAAATATGAAATGTACATTATTAAAAAATATCCGTAGGCAATATTATCCGACAATTTTCGTACCGCCAAAGAGGGAAGGACATGCCGGTGCGAAAAACGTCGCATACATATTTTGTATACATTATTCAGCGTTGTCCTTGTCTCAGATACAGCAGATAACAATATAATTAAATTAATTTGGTTATTAATTTGTTTAGTATAAATTTACCCCGAAACAATAATAATAACGTCTCTTAAAAAGTATGCGTAAAAACAATAATTTTGTTAACCCTTTAAGCAAAAATTATAGGTAAGAGGGTGTTTACACAATACTTATCATCCATCAATTAACAATTTTTTACAATATTTTCTAAATCTTAAAACTTTCAACAATATTCAAAAGTGTAACAAAACGATTTTTCAATATTTTTTTTCAGTAGTACAAATTTTGAATCTAAAAATAACAGTGCGTTTAGGACGAGTTTAATTGGTTGTTTTCCAATAAAAATGCATCGTTACAAAATTTGTGCGGTTTTCGAGTGATTGAGTCAAGCGTTTTTTTTTGTTCTTTAAGAAAAAGGTCATATTAAGTATTTACGCTTCGTTTTTTAAAAATATTATGTTCTCTCCAAAAACTGATAGTTATTGAATGCTTTTAAAGCGAAAGCGACGTCATTTTGGTAACTCTAATCTACCTAACACATTTAATCTTGAACTAAAAACTTAACAGATTATAACAAATTTAACTAAAAACTATGTCAAAATTCATTCATTATTTATAAACAAAATTTATCTAAAGCGCTTGATGTTATTTCTTTCTTTTCATTTTGGTGTTATCGCTTGTTCAATGTTTAATCCCATATTTTAAACACACATATATATATAAATACATATATACATATATATATATATATATATTTATATTTATAGGACTGGATAAAAGCAGTACAAGGTCAAGCCAAAACGAAAATGAATAGTGTCTACAAAGTAGATTATTTTATTATAAATCATTAATATAAGTTTAATTATTTTTTTTTTTTATTATTATTAATAAACATTTTTACAAATAAATTCGTTTGTTATGTACATTATTTTACTTTCTCTTGAAAAAGTGTTTGTCCGTAGACAAAAAACAAAATACAAACAAAACAAAAACGGGCGAAAATAAAATAAAAATTCAATCACAGATACGACGTATATAGAAATATCACAGATCATTTTATTTTAAACTGCGTATTTATTATTATTATATATATGTATATGTAAGTAATTATCTTTCTTGTTAAAGGACTGTCAAATAAAGCCTGGTTTTCTGAATTGTTTTTATGTGTTTTGATAATTATTTTTGATTGTATTATATTATTTCACAGTCTATTAGACAAAACTGTTTTACCGGTCAAACTGTATAGTGTTACAATATTGAAAAGCGTGTCGAGCTTAATTACTAAATAAGTTGTTTTTATCGTTTAGGTTACCAAAATGACGTTCAGTATAATGTATACAATAAGTTAAGTGTGAATATACTTTAGCGAGTATAACTTAAGCTCTTCAGTGTCATTTTCACAGACCTACCTAAAACAACACCACAGGCTTTTGTAAGTGCATGTGCAATGGAAATATTCAAACATGCGTAAAAAAATCACATCTGGCACGGTAGGGATCGAAAAAGTTGAATTATCCAATCATTTTTTTTGATTGTGTTTCCAATTTATTAAACGCTTAGAGACATATCAGTATTATTCACGTTGGATGAGAAGAAAAAAATACCCGCTGACATTTACACGGAGAAATGTAATAATTCGATCCCTAGTAGTCACGGAGAAAAACATCGTTATTTTTCATCCAATAACAGTGCACGTGTAATTCATTTATGGCATTTCTTACAGAACAAATGTAGTAATTTAAATTCTCAGTGCTTTGTTTCGGTTCTCTTTTATTTGTTCATTATTTTCATAAGAAAAAAAGAGAGAAAGTGAGCTGTTTTCCTAAACAGCGTGATGTGTAGCCGGCTGAAGCGGTTCTAACAGCCGAGTTAATTTTATGCTAGCATCTGAAATGTAAAAAAAAAAAAATTAAAAAATTAAAAACAACGAAAGTGATATAAACAATAAATATTAATTATTTCTTAGTTATGTATTTGTAATTATAATTTTCATCTTTATCATATTAATTTTCAAAACAGTTTTAAAATTAAAACTTATAGTTGTTTTCTAGTTAATTCCATACCAAAAATAATATATTTTTAAAACAGTAGAACTATTTTATTTATAAAGTGTATGATTTATTTGTATAAAAATTACTTTAAACTATCCAGGTCGAAACTTTCCTTTTTGTAATCGTTTCCAACTTTGTTCCCTTGATGATTTCCAATTGAATTCCCAACTTGATTCTTTTTTATTTTTTGTTTTACATCACCTGTATGCACATACAAATGTATAGATAAGATGGGATTACAGATATTTACCATATTCCTATCATATATTATACTACCATTTATTCTTATATATTTTAATTCATTTTTTGTACATGAATAATCCTCTAACTAAATGCAGGGTTTTATCAAAACAGCATAACTTTTTTCGTTAATATAATTCCATAAAATGATTATGTCTATACGTTTCATAGAAATATATAATAATTGTTTGGCTTGGTTTGCAAGAAGGGCCAATTTGAAAAAAAAGATCATTATTATAAAGTTGAAATAGCCAGCAACTTTGGAAAAAAAAATTCTAAGAGCTATGTGTTTTCAGTTTAAGTTTTGGAATTTTGATGAATAAATTTGTTTCAATTTTTTAATTTAATGAAGTATTTTTATTTTATGAAACTTGTAAATGTATTAATATTATTTTCATATTTGCCTCTTAGATGGACAATGAATATTGTTATTACCATATCTAGGTATCTATAACATTGGAAAAATACCAAAATATAAAATAATACTTTTTTAATTATTAAAATATACTATAGTCATATGAATTTTCGATTGATTTCGAAATGGTAAATGTCACGACTATAAATAATACGTACGAGGCCAATGTCGAGATAGGTCCATAGACCATAATATAATATTACTAAACTGATGCTCATCTATCTCTTAAAGTAAAAATAATGGCCAATGTATATATTATGTATTAATTTTGTCATTTTGTATCAGAGACATTGTCCGTTTTAACACAAGTAACATAATTAAATATTAATAACGACATTATCCAAATAATCTTGAATTGGCCCAAATGTGACATTGGCCCTGCCTTAATCTTTCCCCAAGCCACAGAACTATACATTTTAATTTATAAATACATATATATTGATATACATACCTACTATATTTTATAACAATGTTCCAAAATAAAAAATAAAAAATAATTTAGTAGCCCTTTATGTGTTTTAGTTAAATACATATTACAAGCAAGTAATTTGTACTGTACATGCACTGATAAATTATTTTATTTATTTATCAACAAATTATTGAGGTGATAAATTAAGGAATATACCAAGTATTTTTTTTAAATGATGTAAAAGTACCTGGAATTGTGAATTCCATCCCGTCACCAATTGTCATTTCCACTGGTTCCTTAGTGTCTTTAAATGGCGCTATAACATCTACAATTGTCTCGTCAGCAGGCAAGTCAATATCTCTGTCTCGACCTATGATCGATGAATTCACAAACGTAGAGGATTTATAAGTATTAATTTTGTATTGATATCAACTACTAGAGTACTACGTGTAATTTGTACTATAATCTTATTCACTTAACTAAACATTATGCATAAGTAAGTATTGGTTAAAAGAAACATTTTGCAAACATATTTTATCAGTAGGCACCTATGCGTTTATTCACTAATTACTAAAATATATAAGGTACGCATATTATTATAATTATTATTAAGATGGATTCAGAACTGTTGTGTTTTATTTATTAATATCTATCAATAGGTATAACTATTAATTAGATGAATCATATTAAAATATTTAATACTGTTTTTAAAAGTAAGAATGAGATGTGTATATATATAAAACGTATGCACGCATATACATATTGCACACATGTTTATATAAGACTTATCAAATGTGTACATTATTGCTATTGTGTACTCAATATGTAATTACGTTGTTTATTCTGTTGAGTTCAGATAAAAAAATAATTATGACTTTGTCATTCAATGGGAAATATGAATTTATCCTTGGTCCAAACTAGGGTTAAAGTACTTCTCACCTGACGCCTGGACCGATATCTGATTGGTGAGTTTCGCTCGGATTGCTTTGAGGAAGTCCATTATACGCGTTTTCACCCATTTATTGAATCGGCTAATACGTTCAAATGCTTCTGTGATCTTGTTTGTGTCACTGTCAGCAGTAGGCACTGATAAATTCGAAGAGCCAAAATTACTCAGCAACAACGCCAAGAAAAGATTAAGTACCTGAAATAAATCATTTATTTGAACAATAGACGTTTATATTTTGACATATTGTTGTCAATATTACAGTTCACTTTATATTACTATATCTAGTAGGTATCTATTAGTTCATATTATTATAGTTATAGAATCACTAATATCAGATACTTAATTATAGATTTAAGCCTGTAGAGTTGTGGCCATGGGTATATACTATATGAACATAATAATATCAATAATATTTTACTGAGTATGATAGCAAAAATTAAATATGGATATTGTATAAAGAAAATTGATTAAATTTGTACATAATACGATTTTGCTATGATAAAAAATGTTCATGTAATGGCATTAAATTTATTAACGAATGATAATGGACTATGGTACTATGTTGTAGGTTCTGGAGTATGTTGCCACCCCTAACTTCCTAAAAAATTGAAACCTGCACCAATGGCATTCCACCGTCCTCCTAAATTCTTGCACTGAATAGTACATATATCATAATTCATATTTATGTATAAATAGTACTTATACATACCACGAGGTTACCGATGACAACGGTAGCCAAGAAGAATGGTATACACGTTGGTTCTCCAACGTGTAAACAGTCCCACATTGATTCGATCCATTCGCCACATAATACGCGAAATACTATCATAAACGAGTGCAAAAAATCGGTGAAGTTCCACCGGGGAAGCTCATGGTCTTTGAACAAGTACATTTTTTCTGTAAAAAAATATAATTTAATTTGTGTTTTTTTCATTTGTGTGTTTGAAAATATTGTACGGTACCTGTGTAGTTTTTTCCAAATAACTGCATACCCATAACGGCGAATATAAATATGATAATGCATAACACAAACGTTAGATTACCCAAAGCACCGATTGTTCGACCCATTATAGATATTAAGAGATTCAATGTTGGCCAAGATTTTGCCAACTTAAATACTCGAAGCTATAGTTGAACATTTCAAAAAATTGATTCAGTGTAACTATATTTTTTCACAACACGGTAACCATAAGAAACCAACAAATACTCACCAAACGAAATGAACGTAATACGGATAGTCCTTGGTAACCTGCGGAGAGCAGTTCTACTACGGAAAGAATTACGATGATGAAGTCAAAGATGTTCCAGCCCATTTGGAAGTAATATTTAGGACTCATCGCCATCAGTTTCAGAGCGGCTTCGACGCCGAATGTCGCACTGAAAAACTGTAGTCGCATTAGGAGTTAGTTGGAAACTCAATATTAAATTTGATAAGCTTAATTTATTATCATTTTCGAGTTTCAACTATTTGATGTTAATTTTGATTTATAGCTGGCCGTTCTATGATTTATTTCATATTGTCATACTTACAACATTGGCCTTGTTGAGAACGAAATCCAATTTGGGATCCATTTCGTGATGATCGAGTGCCATGAATAACGTGTTGACTACAATACACAACGTGATGTAGAGTTCGACGAACGGATCGAAAACTATGAACGCGAGTCCTTGCTGAAACTTGAGCCACGGCCATCCACAGTCCCACACACAGAATGTGTCAATGAACTTCAATAACCATACTTGGAACTTTCCCGAAAAGTAGGTTCCTCATCTTCTTCCTCTTCATCCTCGCCATCTACCGCATCCTCATCTGTTGGAAACACGTACACCGTGGACACTGTACCCCAGACACCCACGAGAGTACCCCCCGTTATTACTATTAATATAACATACATTTACTATCTCAGCACTTTTTTGTTTTAATTGTTTATAAAATATTATTCCATCATAATTCAAAGTATAAAAATTTATTTTACCATTTTCATATTAATCATAATACTAATAAATATCATATTCAAGAGTCTGTAAAAAAAAAAATTATTAAATCCACACTCAGTCTTTTAAAATTATAAAAATCACCAAATTCAACCTTTAAAATTTGAAAACGTCCTAGAACAGCCTGATAATGTATTCTTTGAACTATATTGTATGCATAAATATTTTTTTATTTTAGAATATAAAATATCAAACAATCAGTAAAAGTGATATAAATTCAAAACATTCTATATCATTTTTATAATGTTGTAATTGTAATAAAAAATACATATTTGTTACTCTCATAGACATAGACTAGGCTTCTTCTGCAGAACCAGCATTTAATGTTCAGTGCTATTAAAATTGTTAGTTTTCAAAATTGTAATGAGAAAGATAGTAATTCTCAAACCTTTTTTCTGAGGGGTGAATTTACTAGATCAAAGGTTTTTTTTCATCAGTTACTTTTTTTCATTGCATGAGGCTAATGGTTCGGTGTAATAATTTTAAGTGAAGCAATTGTCGAATGTAATACTTATCACCTAATTAAAGTTTAGAACATATAGAAACTATTAATTGTTATTAAAATATGTAAATATTTTCTTTATTATTGACCTAATAATCGGTGATTTTAGAAAATGGAAGAGGCTACATGTGAAGCCTCTGATTTTACCGTAGTCATATCTATGGTTATGCTTAAAAAATGCTTTAAAATATATATAACACCCATTGGCAGAATAAAACAATTAATGTAGTCGTTTTTTTTAAGGTAGGTATATCAAAACTTTTCTTAATCTCAAAAGGATTTCTAAAAAAATGTGAGTATGAATGTTATTTTTTAAAATCACTTACATACAAGCGAATTATTGTAATAACATTAAATATAATTTTGAAAGATTATTTGCCATCCAGTGATAAATATTAGTAAACACACGTGTGAAATATAAAAAATATAATTAATTAAGCCCGTTTGAAAACTTATTGATTCTACAAGATTATTATTGTATTTTAAAAAATATAAGCTAACAAAATGTTAATAAATTGACTTTAGTGCAGTATGAACAATATAAAATATAATAACTTCAAAGCGAATTTACATGTACTTTTAAAGTAAACATGTTTGGTTGCGTCATCGTATATAATAAAATATAATTACAGATAAAATAATAAACGTATTAAGTATTTTACTATAGAATTATTAAATAAAGATCATAATTTTGTATACGATTGTCGCTTTGTACTTTGATTAGTCAAATGACATCAACTCTATTAAAAAAAAACCGTATTATTTTTGTATTCTTTTATAATATAAATAAAGCTATTTGGTGATAATCATCTAAGTAATTAGTCTTAAAATTAGAAAAAAAATAAATCAACGTAATTAATAGTGAAATATTGTAATGCAGTGCAAATGTCTTACTATATTAATATTGTTAGACATTTCTCGTTTGTATATATTCTTATTAGTAAAATTATCTTTAGAGAAACCATATATACTTTATGAAAGTTTTAAAATATAATTGTATAAGTTAAAAAAAAAAAAAAACAAAACTATTGATTCCTTTCATTTGTTTTAAGTGCAAAATGTTTGATTAAACATTTGGGATACAACTATTGGAAATTAAAATTAAGTTTTTGTAATGTAATTATCTGTAAATATGTTTGTGCTCTGGTTTACATTTGGAATGTAGGATAAATAAATTCACAAATTCACAAAAGTGTTCAAATAATTTAGAATTTATTAATTATTTTTATAACACTAACCTTTAATAGTAGTTAGCAATTCATAATGAGAATATGTTCGTCAATCACTCAATATTATTCATTCAAAATATTGATGAAACTTAAATCGTATTAAATTACAATAGTGAATAGTTACACATTTAGGTATTAACAATTATAATATTATAAAAATTAATTCATAATATTCATCATGTTTAATATGGATTGAAGATTGTATAACCTACATTAAAATTCATAATGTATATTATCATATTTTGTATTTTATTACATAATATAAAAAGGTAAATGTGGATTTAATTATTAAACATTTAAAAATGTTCAATGAGTTACTGCTTCGTATTGATCTTAAATATTTTAGGAATAAAATGTTGGCTAGCTCAACTCGGCTTGTAAAATTATTTATGGAAATATAATAATTTATACGTTGCTTATATTGTTATTTATCCTAACTATATTATATCATATAATTATTTCTAACTACAATAAAAATATCTAAGTACTGTATAACAACAATTCAATTTGTCTAGTCATATTATGCAATCTACATATAAAATGTGGTTAATAATATATTATAATACACAAAACAAGTGAAATAAAATATATTACGAAGCTTGATTAGTAGGTAGCTATTATAGTAGTAAGCTTGATATACCCAAATAAAGTTAAAATATACAAACTATAAGTACTACCAAGATGATATTCATATTTAAAAAATATCAATCTACGTGATGTAATACTCCATGGTAGATTAAACAAATCCAATGTAGTAAAACGATAAATATTAATAAAAAAAGGCGATAGTTATTTTTTTTTTTTATGATATAAACTAACAATAATTTAACGTTCACATAAATATTATTATGATCGCAGACTCTTGGATCTTTATGTTTCATTTCAAGAAGGAGAAGAATTAAACGCCATATTATACTGTCATGCACGGACAAAAGTACTGATTAGCAATTATAGTTATATTAAGAGTAATAAATAATAAAAACACCTTTTGTCTAATAATAATAATAATATTGTACCGCACACATGTTCGTGTTTTTTTTTTCTTTTGCCGGCACGATGAGTGTGCTGTACAGGGATGGGCTGTATTTCAGATACCTACGCGTATCTAATATACTTATCATTGATACATTTTAACTAACCTATCTAGTATTTCGTATGTGGATATATAAATAATTTTACTTGGATGTCTTATATTTTTTTATTTTTTATTGAGTCGAAATATTAGATTCAAACGAAAATAATTTTTTCCAGAATTATGCAAATAAACTAATTATTCATTCAAATAGTTTGTCTATGTTCTTCATTTTATTTCCATAACTGATTAACGAAATCACAGAATTAATGGCTAAACATGTTTAAAATGGTCGGAACTTTGAAGTGATCAGTACAAAATAGCCATGTAACATTGTAACAAAAAAAAAAAAAAAAACGATATTATTCTTAATCGCAGATATAATGATTACGTGTAGCCAATCGCTTCACCATCTGGATTTCTAGAAGAGATATAATAATATAATTGTTACTTGTAGACCGTAGTATTCATATTAATAAGTATTTTGTATGTACAACTAAAAAACAATACTAAGATAAGTATACAACATGGAATTAATTTAGATTTTAGAAATTTTACTTGCTAAAATAATATTTAAAAAATATATATGTATATATATTGTATCTAAATATAAACATTGATTTAGGTATTTAATATCTTGTATCTAGATACTTTCATGCCCATCCCTGAAATAAGATGAACCAACAGAACGAAGTGTGCTGCGTCCGGCGAAGGACAACAAATCGTGTCGACAGAGATATAGTGTATGAGCACATATTTTATCATGCAAATCTATACAGGGTGATAGCAATGTATTGTTTATACAGCGTTTTTTTTTTTTTGTCTTGGGCCATGTATTACGTTATCACAAACACGACGCGTACGACATAAACATAAGACATAAGTAATTACATTATTATTATTATTATACACATTCAACAACGACAACAAAAACAACAAGAATATTGTAAACCATTTGGTTTGGCGCATACCTGCTTTTTCGCTACCCCTACTCTGACGTCCGGCTGCCTGTTCGATGATATCGTTCAACACCATCACGTCTGAAACAATGATTGATATTGTATAAATACCTATATATTATAACCACTGCAGATCATTATAATTATTATTGTATCACTATCACAACCGTACAGCCGTACAGGCATGGGTCTAGGAATAAAAAAAGAGTGAGAGCTAGTCTCAAACATAAAAGTACCTATTTAGTCTTTGTAAAATGTAATTTGTACCTATACTCGTATAAGTATAAATTAAATATTCACATTTTTAAAAAGTGATACACCGCAAATAAACATTTAAATCATTACAATAGGTGATAGATACAATCTGATACTAAATAGTTTCACATTTTAATGAATTTATTAATAAACGAGAAAATAATCTTTAAGACACTATTCAATAATAATGCAAGCTGCTTATCATCGTCATTAGTATTATTACTTTATGAAATTTTAACTTCCCGTGTGTATAATAATATTCAACATAACATTAATTTATGACACGATCGGTTTACCTCTCATGTCGACAACCGTGTGCTTTTGCGAATCGTTGTACCCGCACTCGTCGACTTGTTGTTTCGATTTGGACATGGAACTAGAATCGTAATCGTCCTGAAACCCAATACACGATCAGTTGTTATTTGCAAGTATTGCGCACGAGTATGCCTGTATCACTACTATATTACTAGATACTATATGGGTGCCTTACATCTCGGTTGTATCTTTGATCGGATGGGTTGAAATAGTTTCTGGCCGACCTCGACCTGAGCTGCCTCTCCTTGGTCATGGGTGGTTTGAACAGATCCGCGTGCGACGTGTACGTAATTCGGGACGTGTGTGACGTGTAACTGCTGTGCCTCGAACCGAAGTTCGCGTATGACACGGGCACGATGATGGCGCCATTCTCCTCGCTCATGGGCGTCACTGCGTTCGAGTCGTCGGCGTACGGCAAGTGTTCCTGAAAGTTTCAGGACTAAGGATTTTATGTTCATGGGGAACGAGGGGGAGTCATGTATATTTTCCTACTTCCCCTTACATACAAATACGGGGAAATTACTCCACTAATTTGACTCTTATGACATTGACAGTAGTAGACAGTAATAATTATTTTTATCGGCTTTATCAACCAAAGGCGATCGCCTACGACCATCCGACTTAAGTACCTAACCGCCAGTAAATAAATCTAAAAATAATGTTCAACGAAATAATCGAGCAACAATCGCCACTAAAAAATCTTAACATGCGTACAACTCTTAATCTGTGTCCAATTTAATAATAAAATTAGAAAAATAAAACCATCATCATTGTAATAATAATATATTTATGACAAAATAATATACTATATAATAATGGTATAATGTAATATAAAAATTGTTTTGGGGGAGGCTTTAGTCCCAAATCTCCCACCCTCCATGGATGCGCCACTACGACAGTCGTGTTCTAGTCAGACAACATAGGTTCGAGACAGAGTGTCAGAGTTTCGGATTATCTTTCACACTTACCTCCGCGTCAAGTAACGTGTTTAAGACCAACGGCTTGGTGTCCGCTCCGGTAAACCTAGGTCTACCGTTTCGGTGAGAAAGTTGGTGGCTACCACGTGATGCCCGTCGGATGTTGAACGGCGATCCCGGCAGGCTGAGACTGGCCTGGAATCAAAATAAAAACGTCACAAATAAGCTGGAAAAAATACTTGGCGGTATAACTGCAGTGCTGGGAAAAAACTCTATTCTGTTAACCGATGATCTAAGCTTATAAATATTATACATATTATTTACATATTTGGTTAAATTTCAATAAATTATAATATATTGATTACATACATTATTAATAATAAATGTTCATTGAGTTTATAAATACTATTATTTATGTTAAAATAAATACAACTAAAATTAGACTAAGAAAAATACTTGTAATATAGTATTGGTAATCACTAATCATACTCAATGACTAGAAATAAAAAAATCATCGTTGAGTTTTTCCCAACACTGCTTTTAAGACATTGCGACCCAGAGTCGTGCACCAAGGGCGTACTTTTCTTGTTTTGCCACTCTGCCTGTCCACACTCCCGGTGTCCGAGTGTTTGTCATGGCTCGTGATTGACACCGATCGCAGGCTCATTTTCTCTCGATGATGATCGTTACCCATTCCCCGGTCTTGGCCACCGGTAAACATATTGTCGTAGCTTTGGCACGAAAAGTCCGAAGGCGATTTCGGATGTTGGGTGACGTGCCGTGCTCTCTCCGCACGCTCCGCCACTCTTTCCTCGTGAGCTTGCCTCCGGACTTCCCTGTCTTTAGCTGCTTGTTCCGCTTCCTGAATGTTACACAAAGCACGTTGATTATTACACTTTTGGACGGACAATTCGATAGCGAACCACTCACCCTGATGGCTTCTTCCTCGGCTGCCTCTTCTTCTTCCGCCTTTTTCTGCAACTCGTCGTACGACATCGCTACGATAGCTAATATCAAATTGACAAGATAGAACGAACCGAGGAATATAATCACAATGAAGAAGAACATATGCCATGGTCCAGCGGCTCTTAACACCTAGATATGAACATTTTATAACTTTTTAGAAGACAAAATATAAGTAGGTACGTTGTACGTATAATATAATCATACGTGGTAGGTTTTTGTGATTCATTATAAACATAAAATATAATATATAACATAAAATATTTATATATAATGGATACAATTAATATCCACTTCAATTACAATACTCATTAATAAACAACAATAATAATATAATCTGCCAACGTCAAGTACCTGTTGGTATAATGCTTCCCAGTTGTCTTGAGTCATTAATCTAAATGCCGACAGTAAAGCCCATGCAAATGTATCAAAACTTGTATATCCATAATTAGGATTTGCTCCAAAACCTTGGATACACATATAACCTTCTTTGCATTGACTAAATATACAGTAAAAATACAAACGAATTATAGCTACAATCTAAATTATGAATATAGGTAGGTATCTACTTAACATTTGTTATCTTATAAATTACTAAGACTCACCCAGCGCCTGTACCGTTCCCACATAATGGATAATCTTCTGGTTCCTCTTCACCCTCCTGCCAATTTGCTGAAACACATGAATAACATTATAATTATTACATTATACTTAAATAAGTAATGGCAACATTTTTACATACATTTATTCGACATGAAGGCAACCCAATTTTCATTGGTTAAATTTCCAGCTGAACCGTCAGTGGGAAAATACTTTATACATTTTTGTGTTAACACGCCCATATAAATTTGTAATCCCAGTAATGCGAACACAGATAGTGAAAATATTGTTAATATAATGACATCCCTGAGGTTTTTCACGGATTCTATCACAGCTCCAACGATAGTCTTTAATCCTAAAATATTAAATCATCAACCACTTACATCTTTAATCCAATCATAATATCTGTATACACAAGATACACAATATGAATATAACGCCAAATACTATGCATGTTAGTATAATATTATAATATAATTATTATATCATTTTATATTTACCAGGCACAATGGCTACAGTTTTGAGCGCTCGCAGTACTCGAAATGTTCGAAGAACCGCTAAATTTCCAAGTTCTATACCCATAGTAACGTAACTGAAAATTACAATATTTAACTACACATGCTATAATTAAGTTATTGTATTGTACTAGTTAATTTGGATACCGATAGTCCACAAAATATTTAAACCTACCTTCTAAAACAAAGGGCTATAAACTAAGTATGCTAATTAAATAACAATAATATATACTATATATGTATGTAAATATAATATGTATAAACATATATATTTTAATATGGCTATGTTTAATTTAAAACCCGATTCTAAATAGTATCGGCTATAGGTCTAAATTCCGAGTAAAACGATTACACTAAACTATAAACAAAAAATATATATATTTTTTGGAATTCGATACAAATACAATAATAATGTATCGACATATACGTCTATAGACATTAATAACATACCTAGGTACCTAGGTACTTAAAATAAAATAAAAAATTTAATTTCCCATTTTCAATTAGGTATAGTAATTTTTTTTGTTGTTGTAAGTGAATAAACTAGAATTTGATTTTATCGTATATAGCACCCTGTCAACTCCAACCCCCTCCCCATTTCATCACCAAAACACAAATACATTATAATCTTCAATTGTGGTTATATCGCCCTAATAACGGTATCTACAAATCTACTTCTACTACTCACGCTAATGCAATAACAATGAAGTCTAGCCAATTCCATGCATCTCTAAGATAGGTGAAGTGTTCTAATATGAAACCTCGGGCCATTACTTTCACAGCCGATTCGAATGTGTAGATGCCGGTAAATATTACTCTGGAAACGATTAGATTACAATATAAAACATAAATTATAAAAATCAATAATCATCCTAACTCTACATATACACATAATAACACTATCCTCAACAATTTACCAAGTTCGCTAGCGATCTAGTATGTATAAGCTAAGACTCACTAACGTATAATAATAATAATAATAATAATAATAATCATTGATTATATAAATTTAGATAATTTCTAATAAAATATAATATAAACCTAAGGTTAAATAAGATTATAAATTGGAACATAATATATGTGTGAAACGTTAGATATTATAATAGGATTTAATAACAATAACAATAATAGTAATAATAACAATAATAACAATAATAATAATAATAATAATAATAATAATACCTAGTAATAATAATAATAATAATGACAATAACAATAACAATAACAATAATAATAAAAATTAAAATAAAATAAAAACAAAAACAAAAATTAAACAAATAGACAGTAAGAATTCAATAAAAAAAGTTTTACTATTATTGATAGACTTACTCAGACGCTTCAATAGTCGGAGTTGGGGGCATTATCATGAACACACAGTTTGTAAGTATAGTAGTGATGATTGTTACAGAGAATATCGGGTGGACTAATATGTAAATAGCCACCCGGCGGATAGGGTTGAAGGGGTCGAGTGCCCAGAGGCCGTCGGTGGCGCTGAACCTGAAGATATCTTTTCCTTTGCTAATTACTACAAAAGTCTGCGAAAACAAAAACAAAAAAAAAATGATGCACGTTCGTTTTGGGCGACGGCATGACGCCATTACAGTATTTAAAATATGTAAACATGACGTCATTATGACGTAGGAATTTTATGCACTCGGAGTGACCGCTCTGCCAAGGCCGTCGCCACCGCTGACAGAGACCGAAAACGGACTTCCGCGGCGGCCGAGACTTGCAAGGTGTCGTAAACCTGGCCCGTACTTACTTTTTGATTGTGATAGTAAGGGTCGATATCCTCGAGCGGTACGGACGCTAATTCCGGTGGAAACGTGCCGACCAAACGGACCGGCAGCGGAGCTCCTTGTTCCAGAGTCGCGTCCGGCTGGGGACCTTCATCTTCGTCCTCGTCCTCATACCGAACCTGTTAACAGCAGAGTTGTACGACTGTCGAGTTTACGCTGAACCACCGGCGAGTTTCACCGGCGAAACCCGACCAAACGGCGTTCGCATGACTATATATAATAGCGCTATTGTTATAATATAGTAGTATGATAATATTATAATATAATGACAACAAAATAATACTACCTATATAATATAATAATATTGCAAGTTATACGACGATGCAGCGACTATTATACTTGTTGTTTTAGCGTGTTGTATTATAAATTATAATAGATGATGATATTATGTAATGTTGTGGACACTTGTGTACAGATCAAAGGCAAAACTAGATGGAGTAGTATTAGAAGAGGGTCACTAAACTTAGTATTTTTGTAACCACCTAATAATATTTAAAATTGTATTCTGTATAGGTACTATACACTTGACAGTGTCAAAATTGGATAGTCTGTGTTTTTCCGTATATTATAATGTTTTTCAGACGATGAGTTGTTCGCCTAACCTATACTGCAGTGTTATGGATGTAATTTTAATGAGTTTAACTTTGTCAAATATAATGGTCCATGGTCAATGACTAGTGACTACTCCAAGTCAATTATTCATATTTTTTATTTTGTCTGTGAGACCGTTTTTTATAGGCATACGGGTGTATATAGAAATAATGTTGAAACGTTCTAAACGTAAAATCGGTGTCAATAACTTATTAAATTTTATATTAATAATATTTATTTTCTAAGCACGTGCGTAATGTACATCGTAAGTAGGTACCTTATAATAATATGTGAGTAGTATAATATGGACAGCCCAACGACCGCAATTCACAATGCACTTTGACGTTATAATTACGCACGTCGTGTCGGCAGCATACATTTTATACGATATTTAACCGATTTGATACGACATGGTTTTGTCATGTTAAGTTGCACCACATTGTGTTCGACCACAATGCGAACGCAATTTGTTCACCTGGTACACCATAGTACACCGGATCGGCGTAGAATACAATGCACTCCTATTATTACAGCACAAGTCACATTGTAGCCCGCGTATTCCAGTTATTAAAGGCAGTGAACATATTTTATCGCACAGTAGGCGCAATCGATTTAATGCAGATGAGATATTAATTAAACGTGGGTTTTTCATTTTTTCGCTCACCGCATTTAATTAAAACTGTTCAGATAGGTTGATAGATAGGTAGCATAATATGTTAGAATATTCTAATAGAAAATATAGAAAATTAAAAAAAAAAAACCAACACATTTTTCCTAGGACGAATGCTAAGTAACAAAATGTTTTGTTCTCATACAAAAACAAACATCATTAAGTTTGTTTAACCGTCAAATTATTTGCATAAAATGTTTATATTAAGTTGTATTTTGAAAGTTAATGAAAGTAATTTGAACAACAGTCATATTATTCATGTACTGTAAACTTGTGTTGTTATTAGTTTTTCTTATATTAGTTAGCTACACAAACTCCTCGTAATGCATCTTAGGATGTAGTTAATTGCACAAGTAGCATGAATATGGATAGAACAAATTTTTGAACTCATGTCATATGAGTTATATTTACTATCTATAAGTATATAAATTTGTTAAATGTTAATTAATTGGAATTTATTCCACAGAGAAACTAAATTAGACATAATTTTATGGTTAACGTTATTCAATTATTATTAAAATATATTTATCAATAAAATAATAATGAATTACACAATTTGAACATACAGTTAAATACATTGATTTGCTATAAAATAACTGTTTTTATATTTTTCTTGGCCGATGGTTAATGTCGATACAAACACTTAATATGGTCCAACCACTATACATTTATGATTAATCCTCAATAAATGAGTTATTTCTAGATAAGTTAATTATTCAAGTTTAGGTAATTAATCAGCTGAATTTATTAATGATCAATATTATGGCGTTTTAGTGTAATATTACTATAGGTAATAGTTTAGCTCATTCCTTTTATTTTGAACGTGCTAACTTGCGTTTAGTCTAGCGATAACTATTCTAGAAACTACTATAACTATAAATATATGCGCCTTAATAAATTACAATAACTACTTTAATATTATAATACAGACCTAACTAAATTTACATTACAATATAATATAGGTATGTACCAATATATTTAAATATATTATATCTTCTATAACAGACTTTTTGCTTGTTAAGCTCATGTTCATGATTCATGAAACTAAACATAATATTTAGATAAATAAATTACTTTGACATTATGTTATGTGATACTAAGAACTTGTGTGATGACATGCTTTTTGTACATTTGCTAAAAATATTAAGTAGCAAGTAAATTAAGTACGTATTATGTACATGGTAATAGTATAATAAATGTATAATGTATAATATATATACATAATAATATATCCTAAGATACGAAAAATGTATGAATTCTAGCCTAGTTTGTGGCCTAACTATTAGTATTTCCGCTATTTTTTTTTCTACTTGCTTACGTCTTTATTTTTATTTCTCTTCCATGGCAAGGGCTGTTGTCAAATAATAAAACAAACAACATTAATATTAGATCGTTTCCAGAACTTGGCACAGATATACACTAGTTCCGTCTTAAATTCCACATTTAAATCACATTTAAAGCTAATTGTAGTTTTATTTTGGACGTCAAAAAGTGTTCGGCTATAAATTACGCTTCCAAAAATATGGTGGTAGGGTCAAAATTTAACGACGAGAACGTGGGATGGACTCTGGCCGACTTGGCCAGAGTTCAACCAAACTCACCTCCCCTTCAGCTCTTTTTTCCTCAAGTTCTTTCTGTTTAGCATGGTCTTCAGCTATACGCTGTTCGATGGCCCTCAGTGAATCGCGGGTGAACGGACGGAATAGGCTTTTTTCTTCACTGGAGAATGAAGAATCGGTGTCAGCAATGGACATGGTCGAGTGCACCTCTTATACCCTCGTCGGCCTGCCCCCTCCGGACTGCTGGAGAGGGCTCAAGCACGTTAACCCTCTGAAAGAATAATATAAAGTGATCGAATCAATAATTAATTGATAAATTTTTAATTGTACGGTAAAATATATATTTTGGGACCCAAATATGAACAAGTCTTCTGTCATTAATTATGAAAGTGGTTTTCAATCGATAAAAGTTATATTTTATTTTTTAATTTTCCATTTTTCATAGTTATTATAGGATATAATATTATTATTTAAGTACCTCTCGTCCATCCGGAAAACGGCACCTGTGGCGCTCTATTTTGGATACATCCCTTAAACAAGACAGTTTGAGCAGGGTTTGTACACTTGACAATCTGAAAATACAAATAACAAATTTAGATTAAAACATAATATACATACTATTATATTTATGAGTTAGGGATGATGACTTAACTTAAATTTAAATATAAAAAATATTAAATGATTAACTATAATTATTGAATGTTTAATATTTTTTTTATAAATTATAATAATATAACTATCTTCCGGCTAAGTAAATAAATGGATTATAGTAAAATTTAGACTTTGAAGAAGTATGCCACAGATATCTGTTTAATGATCGTTTTTAAGCACATACAAATTTAATTAAAAATAATAATAAATTTAATTCTTTAAAAGATTTTTATTTAATTTTTAATTTTTATTTAAAGTATCATATCTTGAAAATTACACGTTATAATATGACAAAGATATTATGACCGGGTCGTATTCAATTAAATGCATTCGGGCAAGACGTAGCAAACATCGATTTCTGTTCTGCCGAATCGTACACTATACAGTAGGTACCTAACAATAGCAGAAGCAGCATGAAACGGCGATACAGGGTGAAACGTGAAAGAGAAAGTAGGTAAAAAAGTAGCCTAAGTTAAAGGGAGAAGTTTCAGTGGTGGAAAAGGAGAGATAGACAGTTGAGACTACCAAGAAAGGGAGAGAAAGAGGTTGTTGACCCGAAGCCCTACGAGGTCTCGCCTAAACCAAGTACTTTATCCGCATACGTAATTATTGTGTTGTGTAAAAAAAAAAAAAACGTCACTACACCCAATTTTAAACTTTATGACACGAGTGTGGTTCGAAAGTCTTGAAATTAATGTCTCACCCGTAGTAAACGAGTAAAAAATTACCACTAGCTATTTAGAATAATATTATCTTTGAAACATCTATAGGTTTGTAACGATGCAGAATTGCTATTATAATTAAATATAACGGAATATGTGTCGCCATCTATACACGCGCCAACACGCGAACCCAAACTATTAAACACGCGCCGCCGTAACGATATGAATACCTACTTATGCTACCAACTTGTCACTGTAACGACTTATTCAAGCACATTGAACGATATAAGTTAAAGCTATACAACGCTCTTAACACGCCAAGCATATAAAGAAGTACCAAAGAAGTTGAATTAAGAAGAAAACACGTATTACATCCAGAAAACCGATGACGCAATGACGCCGCATAGAGTGCGCGCCGTTACGCAGGTTTTCCGACCGTCAACACTTCTAGCGACTTTATGGAAAACCACCACGACAGCCCGTAAAACTGTTACAACCATCATCTTCCCCAGAAGATTACACCCTAATTACATGTAGCCGCCCATAGGGTAGAGAGTCTACAACATACAGTAACACAATGAAAGCAACTACCTACTTTCATCTATACAACACACCGCCCGTAGTGCAAACAGGGCATAAATATGAGCCAGCACGGTCAATGGAATCACACAGTTCACTCAACTCACTCAGTTCACCAGTTTTACAGTTTCAACACATCAAATCGCACGCCGTTTCAACTTACCGCCTTTCTTAGTGTGTAACTTCAAACCGCCTTCTCCCGCAAAGCCCTCTCCCTATACTCGCAGTGTGAGTGGTGGTACGCCTCAAAACGTACTGTTCAAGCCACTCACACTTAACAGTAGACGGAGAGGAAGATTCCCCCAACACTCTCGCTAGGTATCGGTGGTGGTACGCCTCAAAACGTACTGTTCAAGCCCCCGGTACCCAGTTGCAGTAGTCGTTGTTTGTCCCCGTTGCCGCCGCCGCCACGACGAGCGCGCCGCCACGACCGGTAGACTCGATTTACCGTCCCATCGCGTGTTACGATCGTCGCTACGCCGAGCGCCGTTATCACGCCGCGTGTCGTATTGTTATCACCGCCGCCACTACGAGCGCGCCGCTGTGATCTCGTATCAGTCCGTTGCCGTATCACCGTTGTTGTTGTCGTCGTTCACGTATCGCAGACGTATTGACGGTACGCACGACAACCAACGCATGATACCAAAGTGATACATATCAATATCATCAACCACGTTGGAACCAGTCGAAGAGAGTGCAGTACCTATACCTGAGGACGAGTCAAGCCACCGCCCGGGAACATTTTTGTATCGTTGTCATCCAGCACCACCGATAGAGTAGGCTGCCATTGGACACAACATACACGTATTCTATCTCTTGCTTTCACGGTCCACGTGAATCTTTAAATATTGTAATTTATCATCTCACATTTAAATAAAAACCATATCTGTAGCTCGACAGAGCATATGTATGTTAAAAGAAAATACTGTAAAACAAAACTGAATAAATTATTTATTTGAACTGAAATAAAATATCTGTAGCTCAACAGAGCATGTGTAAATGAAAAGAATATACTGTAACACAATTAAATAAATTTGACAATTCTTTTCAAAATGCAAGAATAAAAACACTATATATCAAACAAAAACAACCGGTGTTTTGCATTCTTACAATTGGCGCCCAACTACAGGACTCGAAGAAAAGAGACCCCTACATCATTAAAAAAATAAAGAAGAAACCTACTTCGTGTCAGAACCTACATCATTTCAAAAAAAAAAAAAAAAAAAAAAAAAAAAAATGGCACCAAGAAAAGATACAATTGGTAGAGAAGAGTTCGACGCTCTCAAAAGAGAAATTGAACAACACAGTCAGAGCTTAGTCAACCAACTAAGACAACAAATTGCAGATAATGAAGAAAAATGTTTACAGAAAATTGCAGACAATGAAGAAAAATATCAAAGAAAAATCACCGAACTAGAAGACGAATTGAACGAAATTAAATTTAATTATAATAATCTAAATAAAAAACAAACATATACAAATGCTTCAAGACCAGAACCAAGTCACATCAGTGAAATGACACGTCCATCATTTTATGGAAGCAACCGTGACATGCATCCCGTTGACTTTCTACACCGTCTAGACGAATATTTTGCAATTAAACAATTATATGTAGGAGAAAAAATAATCGTGGTGGGAGATTGCCTGAAAGCAACCGCACTCAACTGGTTTTCGACCATACGATTTCAATTAAGGGATTATGATGATTTTCGAAAAGCATTTATTGATGAATATTGGTCAAGAGAAATCCAAATCCAAGTATGGAGTCAGTGCCTCAGCATTACACACATACCTCAAAATACCAATTTTCGGGAACACTTCGCAACATGGGCCACCAAGCTAAGGCACCTAGAAGTACCTCACCTGTCAGAGCCGGAAATAGTCAAGCATATTGCAAAGCACTACCCAGGCTATCTAAGAGCCATCCTGGTATCGATGCCAGAACGAACAATATTGTCAGCAATGAAAATATTAGGCGAAGAAGGACAAAATCAACCTCATAAAGATGACACCCATCATCAAAACAAGAACCAACACGAGAACAATCGTCCGAACAATAATCAAGAGGGACAAACGACACAACATAATTGGAGTCACAGGCCCCACAACCGAAACAACAATTACCAACAAAACAATCGATGGAATAATCGACAAAACAATCAAAACACACCAAGAGAAAACAATCAGCAAATTAATCAAGTTACCACAAGCAATGAGAGTGATGAGCCAGAACAAACTATCAATCAAATGGAGGGAAATGGTGAGTCATTCAGTCCATACATACAATGCCTCATTGAGGGAGAAGAAATTGAAGTACTGGTAGACACCGGAGCAACAATCAGCGTGTTAACCAAAGAAGTGGTTGATACAATAATTAAGAAAAATCCACGAATACCACAGCTACCTGTCACCGGAGTTAAGATAAGTAATGCTGTCGGCAAACAAATATGCAAAACCTCAAGACAAGTGTTCTGTCAGTGTCAATTCAAAGAAGCCACTATAGTGTCTAATTTCATACAAGTCGAGGGACTTAATGAAAGGGGCATTATTGGGTCAGATATACTAAATAAATACAACATGCGAATTGACTTTGACAATCACACGATCAGAATGAAAATATCAGGACAAATCTACTTCATCCCGTTTTCAAAAAAATTACCAAAAATTACTGCACCACAGGGAAGCTTAAAAGATATGACCATCAATGAGTGCGACGAAGAAAAAAAAGATCAAGTAGCAATCAATGATGAAGAAAGTGAACAATTCGATACACTCATGAACCAATACGCACACATTTTTTCCGACCGTCCCGGGAAAATCACTGCATTCGAATGTCAAATTCGAACAACAGAGGGGACACCCATCTACCAAAAACCATACCCCATTCCAGTATCAAAAAGTAATCGCATCGACCAAGAAATACAACGAATGCTAGAACTTGATATCACCGAAACGCATGAAAAATATGGACATCTAGGACCTCTAAAGATTTACCAAATGCTACATCGACAATATCAATTATTTAACATGTACCGAACAGTCAAGCGAATCATAAAAACTTGTGACCTATGTCAGAAATCAAAATGCGCCAACCAAGGAGCAAGGGGACCAACAGGGACCATCCTACCCACTGAACCACTTCAAATCGTCTCTCTTGATCTAATGGGACCATTACCAAGGGGACAAGGTGGATCGAAATACATACTTGCTATACTAGATATCTTTTCAAAATATATTCAATTATATCCACTTAGAAAAGCAACCACTGACACTATCCTCAAGCGCATTACTCAAGAATACATA